TTTTTTTTTTTTTTTTGCGGTACGCGGGCCTCTCACTGTTGTGGCCTCTCCCGTTGCGGAGCAACAGGCCCTGGACACGCAGCCTCAGCGGCCATGGCTCACGGGTCCAGCCGCTCCGCGGCATGTGGGATCTTCCCGGACTGGGGCACGAACCTGTGTCCCCTGTATCGGCAGGCGGACTCTCAACTGCTGCGCCACCAGGGAAGCCCTGTGTATGCTTCTTTGTGTGATTTTGTCTGTATGGCTTTGCTTTTACCATTTGTTCTAGGGTTCTGTCTGTCCTTTTTTTTTTAGTATAGTTTTTAGCGCTTGTTATCATTGGTGCATTTGTTTTTCAGTTTGGTTGATATTTCTTTCTTTTTTCTTTTAGTATAGGTTTTAGCACTTGTTATCATTGGTGGATTTGTTTTTTGGTTTGGTTGCTCTCTATTTTTTTTATTTTTTTATTACTTTTTTATTTTAATAACTTAATTTTATTTCCTTCCTTCCTTTCTTTATTGCTTTTTTTCTCGCTTTTCTTCTGAGATGGGTGGCTGACAGGGTCTTTGTGCTCCGACCAGGTGTCAGGCCTGTACCTCTGAGGTGGGAGACCCGAGTTCAGGACATTGGGCCACCAGAGACCTCCTGGCTCCATGTAATATCAAATGGTAAAAATCTCCTAGAGATCTCCATCTCAATGCTAAGACCCAGCTCCACTCAGCGACCAGCAAACTATAGTGCTGGACACCCTATGCCAAACAACTAGCAAAACAGGAACACAAACCCACCCATTAGCAGAGAGGCTGCCTAAAATCATAAGGTCACAGACACCCCAAAACATACCACCGGACACAGTCCTGCCCACCAGAAAGACAAGATCCAGTCTCATCCACCAGAACACAGGCACCAGTCCGCTCCACCAGGAAGCCTACACAGTCCACTGAAACAACCTTAGCCACTGGGGGCAGACAGCAAAAACAATGGGAACTACCAACCTGCAGCCTGTGAAAAGGAGACCTCAAACACAGTAAGATAAGCAAAATGAGAAGACAGAAAAACACACAGCAGATGAAGGAGCAAGGTAAAAA